GGGTACAATAATGAAATTGCTTTAACAAGATTTTATTAATCCCTTTTTTTTTTATAATATTATAAATAATTTTTTTTATTACATTTTTATTACATCATTTAAGTCAATAATAAATTGAATGTAATTAAAATTGAATTAATTTGATTTGAAAAAAAATCTTTTAAAATTCATTTCATTTGAAGCCTAAATCCTTTTCAATGGCATGAGAACAAATGGCCATCATTTGACCTTTGACACGTTTAAAATTTTCAATTGCTTTCGGCTTGGCTGCCGGCCAATTAACCAAATCCCGATAAAGAGGACGAATATATTTTAAGCGAAAATTTGAATTAAGAAAATTGAATATCTCATCCAAGCGACCCATCGATTTAGCCATAATGTAAAGACGCGTTAAATGAAAACGTAGTTCAACATTCTTTGTCTCTTTTAAATTGTAAGTCGTTTCCAGTAATTCGATCTTTTGATCGTTCAAGCCCTTCATCTCTTTATTTTCAGCAAGTCTACTAAGCATATCAATTAGTTGATGTATCGATAATTGTTCCTTAAGTTGAGGGGAATTTTTCAATTCGACAATCGCCTTAGTGGCCCAAAACAGAGCCAACCGTTTCGAAACGCTAGCTAGACTTTGGTCTAATCTGTAAATAAGTTAAACAATAATAATGTAACTAATTTTCTTCGAAGAGTTAACTTCAATAGAAAATCGAGCTTACCTAGGTATAATTGGTGGCATACCTTGCCCATTTAACCATAAATCCCAATTAATTAATGATAATTTTTGTTTTCTATTGGTTTTACTAAAGTATTCGCATAAAGCTTGTTTAAAATCATCACTTGCAACCGAATTGTAGGCATTTCTTTGCCAATATTGGCGTAAGAAACGCTCGAATATCTCGGATCCACCTAAAAGATCTTCCATATAACGCAAAAATATCGATCCCTTAATATACGGTACGCTTGAATAAGCTTCATCCGGAGTGCAATTGGATAAGTCAACCACTAATTTAGTTAACTCTGGACGATCGGCTAATTGCGTTTCAATCTATTGTAAAAGGAAAAGGTAGTGTTAAGTGTTACGTGCTCTGCCCTTTTGTGACTATAATGCGCAGATTCTCTTACACATTCTTTCAATTCGCTTAGATTACGTGACATAAGAAAATCACGTTCCTTGTTGCCTCGCATACGTCCGATAATTTTACTTTCCAAAAATGTTGCAAAACCCTCATTCAACCAGAAATGCTCGAAATTTTTATTAGTTACCAGATTCCCAGCCCAGCTATGAGCAATTTCATGGGCAATTACATTGGCAAACGATTTATCGCCGGCTAATAAAGTGGGTGTAACGAAGATTAAACAAGGATTCTCCATGCCGTCGAACGGGAAAGATGGAGGCATTACCAAAAGATCGCAATGCTTCCATACAAAATGTCCACTTATGTCCGTCGCTACTTTAAGAATGTCAAGAGTATCCGAAAACTCTTCAGCGCACTCATCGATGATATCTTCTTCAGCCCATACTTTTGATTGACGACCGAGCGGCTTGGAGACTAGCTTTCCAACAGCAATAGCTAGAAGATAAGCTGGAATGGGTACATCTTGTACAAAGGTTGTACGGGAATTTTCTCGCTTCAAGACGGTCGCACTCATCAATGCCGTAAGTTCCTCCGGATGCTCAACAGTGGCTCTATAAGTAAATTTGACGGCTGGCGTGTCTTGACACGGCAAAATGGAGCGGGCATGTATCGCCCAACATTGGCTGAACATATAGGGATGCTTTTTGCCCAATGTTTGTTCCGGACCTAACCATTGCAAGGCGGTGGCATTACTCGATGTCTCATAATCAATGTTTACATAAAGACTTAATTAAATTAATAAAATTATAAAGAAAAAAAAAAATTTATTAATTTAGAAGAATGATATAGAGAGGTCAATATGCAGAGGAAAAATATGCAAACATAGAATTCCTCCAATTCGTATGACGAAACAAAAACAGAAGCTATTTTGAAATCAAATTAAAGACTTAGTTCAGAAGAAGAGCCATCGCCTCGATGACTTTAATTTGACATCTTTTAAACGTACATAAGCTTGTCCTTTCGTACTCATTCAGTCAGCTCAAAATAGTCTATTCAATGAGCACTTACTCGCCTGTATTCTCTCCTGTGTCTTCCGGCAATTCCAAGGTAAGCTTAGCCCCCATATCACCTGCGGGATCGCTTATCCCGAACTTTAATGGGATATTTGCTTTTTCACCTACAAGCTCGGCCTTCAAGATTTTCACATTACGAACATCTAAAAGCTTACGTAGGCGGGAGAATGTATCGTCGATATTTAAAGTAAAAATTTAACTCATCTTACAATTGCTGTTATATTCTTCTGAAATGCTTTGAAATGATGCATTACCGAGCCTCTCAAGCATTTTTTCTCAAAATCGACCTTCCAATTCAAGACGCTGTGCAAAGTAGTAATTAGTTCCGGTTCAGCATACGAAGTGGGATCTATTTTTCCTAAACGGGCCGTACGTTTCTGTACCGCTTGGATTTGAATTTGCTCGGGTAAAGGAAATTTCGCAAACAAGTTCGCCTTACTATACAATAACGCACGTCTGTAAGCTGCAAAAAAGTTGAATTATAGATATGTTAAGCTTTTTTATTAATATGAATCATAATCATAAGATTTATATTTTTACCCTCATACCAGAATTTAAATCTTTAATAACTTACCCAATGGATAAAGAAATGGCTTAGGTATTTGCATTACATATGTGCAAATATGTAAACTGAGTGAAAACATAGCTGAATGTTGTCAATGGATAAAGAATTGCAATCAATTAAACAAATTAAAAAAAATTCTGCGCAATTTTATATAAACAGTTCTTCTCTCTTTAAATAAAATTTATTAACTGCCAATGAAATGCTTTCGTTAGAGTTGCTTCCTTCGGAGTTGCCAAGACTTCACAATTTAACATAGAAAGATGGATAAATTTGAAACTCTTTCGAATTTCATGTTCGAAGTCTCAAATAAATATTTGGGTGAAGTTATTATTATTATTATTGTTATTATAAATTTAACCAGAGAATAAATTCTAAGACTAAAGTCTTAAAGCAGTAGCATCTAAGGCTTTCGGCTTTATTAAAAACTCTACCGTACTTGATATTTGAACCCACGACCATTGAGTTGCTAGTCGAGACTCTTGCCTACTCGGCCACTCAGGCGGATTGAGTCAAGTTAAAAACCCCCCATTTCAACTGAAAAATCGTTCGACTTTCATCGACAAGTGTTAATATTTCATTGTTTAACACTGTCATTTTTGTACCCTTTATGATACGGGGTATGTTATATTAAACTTGTGCGGACGTATGTAACACGCAGAAGGGTTTAAGATAGATAAACCTTTTATTATACCGATTAATTCACAATAGTAGTGCTTCATGACAATTTTTTTTTTTTTATTAAACATTTAATAGCCGTAGAAAACAGAAGAGAACGACTTTGTTAATTTTCTTCTTTTATTGTTATGTCCTTCATTAGAATCTGTTTATGTAGCAGAACCAATTGTTTATCGTTTAAATATGTGCACATACACGCCCAGACAAACATTTAAAAAATTTGTATATAAATTTTCTAGAGACAAAGATGTATGCAGCGGCTGAAGTAAAAAGGAATGGGAGTAAAAAAAAAGGCGGAGAGTAAAAAAAAAGAGTCTGGTTATCTGGATATAATTTATACATTTTAGACGTGGTTAACTGGTGATATATGTAGGCAGGCTTTTTTATGAGCTGTTTGCGCAAAGTTTGCTCCACTTTTGCACTATAAATTGACCAGAATTATGATATATTTATAAAATGTTATCGCAAAAGTGTTTTTTTAAAGCGAAACAAACTTACTCGTAAGTTGAAAGTAGTAGAACACCTACAAAACTTCGCATTCAAGAGTGAAAATTAGTATCACGTACTTCGTTTTGATCTACAAAAGTCGATCTCATACCAAATTGTTTCTAGTAGATGCATTTAAGTTAAGTTACTTAAGTTACTTTATATAGGACAAGAAAATAAAAATATAGACTTCGAGGGTATTCTAAGTTTTTGGGGATACCCAGAAGGACTTGAGATAGAGCTCCGTCTTATTATACCAATTGATGAAGAAAATGATTTTTAGGCTTCTATACTTGCCTGTCCATGTTTTCTTTGGTTCAGCCTACACATAGCGCCTTCTCTTGATATCTCGTTATGTGAAAAAATATTGTAATTTTCAGAATTACGCGAGCAAAATCGCCTAGTAACAATGTTCCTCGTTCTAAATGGATGTGAAAACTTTGTATCGGATGAGGTAATTCTTTGAACCCCTTGCCAAAGAATCTTTCCTATGGTAAAAGTGCCTAATTTTCAATACTTTGCGATGAAGATTCGTTTATAATAATAACCTGACATAAAACCTAACCTTACCGAATTTGAACCAGGTAGATATATTTTTAAATCTCTACCCATGTAAGAGTTCTAATGAAAAATAAGTCTTTACATGTTAAAAAGTACTAATTTTTAATATTTTATGATCAAAACTTGTCCTTAGTAACTCAACCATAGGGGATGTGTATCGTAGCGATTTGTTTTTTAGACCGCACCTTATAAAGAGGCTCTTATGAAAGCAAACCCTTCTAAGGCGTCGAAACCTAATTTAAAGTTTTTTTACGAAAAATAGGAAATTTTTTTTTTTTATCAGATACATCTCTTTTGATTTCGAGGATGAAAGATGGGCTTCATTGAAAACTCTGCCGAACTTGAGATTTGGCCCAATGACCATTTTGATTTTGTTTCCATCTTATTAAATGGAAGATTTTAAGGATTCTTTGGTTGCTACAGTGGGATCCTATGAATAGGTTCCTAGATTCCACAAGTTGACCGCCCAATTCCCACAAATTCCACAAGTTCGCCGCCCAGTTCTCACAAGTTGGCCGTTCAGATTCCACAATATAATAAGAGACGAACAACAAAGAATAAAGAGTATCGTTAACAACAACACTATGATGTAATCAAACTAATCTTTTCAGAAGGTATGAGCAATAGCAACAACAACTTTTTTCTTCGAACATGTTCTCTAGATAAGACACAACTACAAACAATCGCGTTCGTCTATACACAGAAGTAAACAGTAAAATTACCAGAAACAAGTGCACATGTGCCTGAAAATTACCAGAAACAAGCACACAAGTGTCTGAAAATTACCAGAAACAAGCACAGAAGTGTCTGAAAATTACCAGAAACAAGTATACAAGCCTCTCAAAAATCGAAAATATACCCTTGTACCGTACGATAATTTAAATAAAAATACAACTGATTTCAGGTTTTTTTTAAACCAAATGTTATAAAATCGTATATCAAAGTTAAAGTAAAAAAACATTTAAGGACATTTTCATTTTAAGCCTAAATCTTTTTCAATAGTGTGAGAACAAACCGCCATCATTTGACCTTTGACACGTTTAAAATTTTCAATTGCTTTCGGCCTGGCGTCGGGCCAGTTAGCCAAATCCCGATAAATGGGACGACAAAATTTCATACGAAAATTAGAATTGGCGAACGCAATAATTTCGTCTAAACGATCGAGTAATCTGGCCATGATATAGAGACGCATTAAGCGAAAACGTACTTCAGCATTTTTCGTATTCTTTAAACTGTAAACAGTTTCCAACAATTCAATCTTTTGTTCATTTAAATCTTTTATCCCCTTGCACTCGATAAGTTTACCCAAAAAATCGATCAATTGATGTGAAGAAATTCGCTGTTTCACGCCGGGTAAATCTCTTAACTCGGAAGTTGTCTTCGTGGCCCACAGTTGTGCCAATTGTTTGGAAACATTCGCCAGAGTTTCATCAAACCTGAAGTTAAAAAACATTTTTCTTGCAAAGATGAACTTGTTAAATAAAGCCACTTACTTAGGTATGATTGGTGGCATTCCTTCATACGATAGCCACATATCCCAATCGATTTCTGTTAATTTTTCTTTTTTATCCGTCCCATTAAAATAGTCATATAAAGCCTGCTTAAAATCATCAGTTATAACGGATTTGTACGCATACTTTTGTAAGTATTGACGCAGGAAAGGTTCAAATATTTCAGGCCCACCCAAAAGATCTTCAATATAACGCAGGAAAGTCGATCCTTTGATGTAAGGAACACTAGAAAACGCGTCATCCGGACCGCAATTAGACAAATCAACTACTAATTTAGTCAACTCCGGTTGATTAGCTAATTGTGTTCGAATCTGTTATAAAATAATAATTAAGGCGAGGTGTTCGATGTGGTATTGAATATGCTTACACATTCTTGAAGATCGGTTAGATTACGTAGCATGTGAAAGTCACGCTCTTTGTTGCTATGCATACGTCCCACAATTTTAGTTTCCACAAATACGGTAAAACCTTCGTTTAACCAGAAATGCTCGAAATTTTTATTTGTGACCAAATTTCCCGTCCAGCTGTGAGCAATTTCATGGGCCACTACGTCAGCCAATGATTTATCACCGGCCAACAAAGTAGGAGTAACAAAAGTTAAACATGGATTCTCCATGCCGCCAAAAGGAAATGATGGAGGCATTACCAAAAGATCATATTGTTTCCAAACATAAGGCCCACAAATATCAGAGGCTGTTTTAAGCATCTCTGACGTTTGCGAGAATTCTTCAGCACACTCATCAATTATGCCCTGTTCTGCCCAAACATTCGATTGTGGGCCCAGCGGCTTGGATACTAGTTTCCCTATCGCTATAGCGAGAAGGTAAGCCGGAATGGGAACTTCTTGTTTGAATGTTGTACAACCCGGATCCCTTTTGTCAATCAAAGCGCTCATTAGCGCTGTCAAATCGGAAGGATGGTCCACGGTGGCCTCATAAGTGAACTTCACGGCTGGTGTATCTTGACATGGTAAAATGGACCGGGCATGTATGGCTTGACATTGGCTGAACATATAGGGATGTGTTTTACCTAAAGTTTGCTCAGGAGTTAACCATTGTAGACCACTGGCCGCGCTAGAGGTTTCGTAGTCAATACGTACCAAAAGGCTGTTATTTAAAATACAAAAAAGAAAAAATAAAAATCATTAAATCGCGCCCACTCATTTTCTGAATATAAAGCATAGTTAGATGATGCAATCATGTGTTCGAAATGCGTAATACATTTTATCTTGATTTATTAGAACATAAATCATATTTCGGTAAGATAATTTTTTTATATTTACTTGTACCGTAAAGATAAGAGAACTGAATTGATTACATAAACTTTGTTTAATATTTGTGTACTTACTGTCCTGGAGCTGTGCCTTGAGGCAATTCTAAGGTAAGCTTAGCGCCAATATCGTCTATTGGTTCACTTATGAAGTGATTTAAGGGAATATGTGATTTATCACATATAAGCTCGGCATTAGTTATTTTTATATCGCGAACATCCAAAATCTATAAATAATAAAAACCTAATAAAATGTCCATTCAAAGCATAAATGCCGGTCTACTTACAATTGCTGGCAAGTTTTTCTCCAATACGTTGAATTTGTGCGTTACGGAGCCTATCAATTTAGTATTCTTGAAATCGACTTGCCAAAGCAAATCACTGTGCAAGGTAGTAATTAATTCCGGTTGAGAATATGAACTAGGATCTACTTTTCCCAGGCGGCCCATAATATTCCTTTTTTGCGTCAAGTACACCGGAACAGTCTTAAGTAAAAATCTCTTCACACACAAATTAACTCTACTGGATCTACTGGACAATAACAGACAATTGACGACTACAAAAGAAAGTAAGCAATACTTTATTAGTCTTTAATGATTCTTTAATGATATACGTCGGCGCAGCGAATAATCTTATCGCGGTCGGTGCAATGGATGTGGGTTGTTAATGAAATTAGCAGTAACAATCCATGCCAATAGAGATAGAGATAAAAATTAAACTATAATATCGATAATGATATCGAACGCTATCGAAAAATGCGGGTTTACGTAAATTCATTGTTGAATTGAAAAGAATTGTAAAAATAAACAAAATAAAAATGACAGCATATTAGTGGGAAAAGATTAAATCATTAACGCCGGAAGTCATCTTGCCTGGAAATTAAAATGATTGACATTTTCTTTAGCCGCACATTTCTAATCATAGTTTAAGTAAATAATAACAAAGTTCATCGCAAATATACGTCAATTTTAAAATTTCAACTTGGAGATTAGCGACCTCTGGTTACCAAATTCGTGAATGAAAGAAATGCATTTTTTTTTCCAACACCGTTTCCTTCCGTAACACTGTAAATTATCCAGAGTGCAAAAAACGAACATGGCGTCGAAATTTATTTATTGTCTATATATTTTCTAAATAAAATTACCAAGTATGGACTTAAAAGCTGCCGGATAACTCGCCTGTATTAAAAACGCTATCGCTCTTATGATTTGAACCCGTTACCATTTAATTGTTAGCCGTCATCTTCTGACCACTCGAGTCTATGCTACAGAAGAGCTCCTATGTTTGACGTATCCTTTCTTCCCAAAAATATCAACATGATTTCTGATGAGTATTTTGGGAAATTGGATTTTTTTATAAAAAAATATCTTCCGAAAGTTGGCCACGAAGTCGACGAATTCTTAGGATGGTCACTAGTAAATCCCATTCTGAAGCTATAGTTAAGTCCCCATCGGTGGAAAGGATGCCAATACTTGGTAATCTAGAACATTTGATCTGTAGAACACGTTTGAAATTCCAGATAAGCTATGCTCCCAAGCTTTGATCCCCCTTTTAAAACATTTGTGATATTTTAATAAAAAAAAAGAAAAAAATTGCAAAGTGGTTTTAACTTTCAAGTAAGCCCTTTTTATTTCTTGAACTAGTTCTTTTAAGTCAACAATATATTTAACCATTTTGTGATCTTATTTTTACATAACGAAAAAGTTGCTGTTCTCTGAAAAACATAGTTAAAGAATTTCTTATCGTATAATGTAGTCTTCCGGATAATCCATAATTTTCGGAAAATTATCAACAATTTCTTTATCTATGTGATCCAAACGTTGCGGCACTGGGCGCAGCGCTTTTATCTGATGAGAGACGTTAGCTAGGATATCTTCGGGTACCTTATCATCGGCATATAAATGAAGTCGTTGCATTGTGTATCGCCGCTGTAGATTGCCTTTCATGGAATTATAAACGGCTTTTTTCATTACCATTGTGGGATCTTTTTCATGCAGTTCCCAAGCCAAGGTCCAAGAGGCACCACCTGGATAACCAGTATGATGGAAATACACACGTTTAATCCATTCATCGCCCGGCAAAGCCATTTCTTTTGTGTTTATAGCAACTACGTGATCCCCACAATCATCTAAAACAAGAAATTCAAGTTAGTATAGGAAATTCGACCAATTTCTTTGTATTTACCCATAGACAACTTTTTTTATTTCCTAGAACATAAATTTCTATCTCATTACACTTCTGAATAAACTCGTTTAAAAAAAAATTAAAAATCACTGCTATCACTTGACAGTTTAGTTCTCTGCCTGCAATATTCTAAAGAATTTTCGAAATGAAATATTTGAAGAGAACTTGTACCAGCGTGTTCACACATGTAATTGCAATAGAGGACGCTCTCTAGACATACCGGCCATTTATGTTATCGTATAATGTATCATATAGATTTTAATGCAATGCAAATTGTAAAGCTTATTTATAAACTCATCGCTGTAGATGGCAATTGCGATCCAATCAAAAAGATTTTCGATTTTAGAGGAGGTTCCATGAGGACACAATTTAAGATGAAATTTGTTGCTCTAGCCAAAGATTTAAATTCTCAATTGATTTTAGAATACTGATATGGAAAGAACAACAAACCGTTCTTACTTTTTATGCTAGAATTGCCCGTTAAGAGGCATTCGGCAAATTTAATGCACCCCCTGTGGTAAATACAACACGAGAATGTCTTAATGCTTAAAAGTGTCTTCAAAGTGTTTCGCGATTTTACACAACAACAATTTTGTAACGACTTAATTCAAAAGATCAGAACGACTTGAATAAAAGTGTTGTCCATCATTATTCATGCCGCGAAAGCGCACATGTTCGATGAATTGCATTTCGACGTAGTCATAAAAATTAAAAAAAAAATAATACATCTAATGTATCTAAATAATGTCTGACGATCACAAAGTATGATGCTTCGTTTCTTTGGTTGAATTGTTATGGTGTGCGGTACTGATCTGTTTAGTGGCAACTATTCGCAAATGTGTTTCTGAAATAAAGGATAACTCAGGTTTATAATTCCAAATAACGAGAAAAACCATGACTTGCTCTCAAAGTTCTCTTCTATTTGGCTTTGTATAATTGCATAATTGTGTGTTGCCTTTCTCGTCGTGCCACCTACTCCGCCTGCAGGTCAGCCATGTGCTTCTGGTTGATTATGCAGAGTAAGTTCATTTTTAGTTATTAGCATGCATACTATACAAATTTTATTGTTTTAATACGTGGAGAGTACCATAGGAGTTGTCTTGATTAATTTATTAAACCATCGTTATTGATCGCCTTAATAACGGCGAATACAACGTTGAGGTAAATAAAACAATAAAATACACAGCGTTTCGAGTTTATATCGATACTATGAGCCATCTTTAAGTTTTGTTGGAAAAGACAATAGATACATTTAAAAATTCCGAATCATTTTCTGAGTCGATCTAAACCTGCGCATCCGTCTGTCCGTCTGATGTCTGACCATATATTCTTATCCTCAACCTGCAAGACGCAAGAGGTATTTTGCAGTTTGCTCGAAACGGAAAGTACGATCCAAACACAACGTATATCATCATTTGAAATTTGAAAATTCATGTTTACAGCTATAGTCACTTATTTTTCAAATCTTTTTACCCCAACTTACTCATTGGATGATAAATTGGTTTATTCATGCCCATTAAATGTTTCGAAATAATTTTAGCCGAATCGAAAGGATTCTGCCAAGTACAATCATAGATGTGCCAAGTTCGTGCAAATGTAGCCCATTGCTGTAAATTGGCAAGTATTTAAACTAAACTCACTTAAAATAAATGAATTAAACCAACCTGTACGCGTTTACATATTGACATTTTTCCGTAAGTTTGGCTTTAAACTATTATAAGACTAGATTTTCATTAAACACACGCTCTTAGAATACGCGCTAATTGATTATTATTGGATAACATCAGCTGTTCAGCAGCCGCTTTATTTAGAGTTGCCAGTGCTTCTTATTAAATGATATAAAACTGTGAGACTACGCACTCAATGCAAAGCTTTTTGAATACATAAGCAGTAGTAATACGTAATGACACTTTATTGTGATGCGTTCAACACTTTAGCAGAGAACATAATAAAGCTGCGTGCTTATTACGTATTTTTTGGTCGCAAGAATTTTACTGGGCTTCGCCGGAATTGACAAGCTGTATAGTTATTTAAGGAAGCAAACAAAGAGCAACTTACTGTGTGTTTAAATTTTCAAATAAATAAGACGTTGCGTTGATATTATTATAATAAGTACAAGTTTGCAAAGCGCTGGAAGTAATGACAACTTTTTGCTTGATGCTTCATTTACGAACAGCCACAAAAAAATTTATTGTACTTTATTTTTATACGTAGTTGAACATATGTCTAGATTGCTTTGCTTACCGTACCGAAGCTGATTTCTCAAATTTTCACTTGCTTCGAAATTGGCAGACAAGAAAATAATGAATTAATAAAAATAAATCTAAATCATATGCTTAATATGCTTCATGCTTGAAAATGATCATTTGCATTTTAAGTAAAAAAACAAAGAGAAGCTAAACTATTCTTATTCTACACAGAAAAGGAACGCTACTTGTTTCTATATGAAAAAAAAAGAACTTTTCTTCGACTACTCAAAGGAATCTGTCGTTTAAACAATTTTATTATTATTATTATTATTTTAATTTTAGACTAATGAATTGAATTCTTAGACTAAAAAAAAGACATTGAGCACTAGCAACACAGGCTATCGGCTCTAAACAATTTTGTTTTCATTAATGTTTATGCAAACAATACTTAATCTTACTATCAGTTATGATTTTTTCTTTAGTAAACCGGGAGCGATATGTTGAACAGATTTTATATATTGTACTTTCTCAAATGCACCATATTTTTTAAATGTTATGAGCAATAAAGCGCAAAATAATGTTCTAAATGAAGGGCCTACACACGATAAGACTTGACAGCTTTGCAATTGTGGGAATTAAAGTAGTGTTCATTGCTTTCAACTTTAATTCGACACTGAAAAGAGAAAAATGTGCCATTGTGTTAATGCCCTAAGTGACGAAATAATTATGTTTGTTTATGTATTGATTAAATCCTTATCTATCTGTGAGCTTTAGATAAGAAATTTTTCTTATTTAAAAGAGGAAAATAAAATGATTTAAAGTTAACTATATACATTGTGCTGCTGTTATATACTTCTTTCAATTCTAAGCAAAAATATATTTATTTATGTATTTATTAAATCATATATCTGGAAGCTTTAGATAAGAAATTTTTTGTTGCTTAAAAGAGGGAAATAAAATGTCTTAAAGCTCATTAAGTGTGGTGCTGCTGTTAACTTCTGCATTCAACTTTAACCAGAAATAAGGCTGGTTTAATTAGAAACTCTAGCCTTTACAATAATAAAATCGCTTTTTTATAAAGTCAAAGTAAAGGAAAGTAAAGGCATGAGTGATGTTAAAAGACGTGTACTATCAATACAAAGTCATGTAGTCCATGGGTATGTAGGCAATAAAAGTGCGACCTTTCCTTTACAAGTGAGTGCATGACATCACAAATTATAAATAAAGAGTTTTTTTACACATACACACATATGCAGGTACTTGGGTTTGAAGTGGATGGTATAAACTCTGTCCAATTTTCCAATCACACCGGCTATAAAGTAGTAAAAGGCCAAATATTAAATGAAACAGAATTGGGTAAGAAAACTCAATGATTTCTCAATTAATAATATGTGAATATAACTAATATTTAATAATTGCAGATGAGCTTTTCCGTGGATTGGAGTGTAATAATTTATTGAAATGTTATTCGCATTTACTTACTGGTTATATAGGTGATGTTTCTTTTTTGCGGAAAATAGCCGAAATTGTAAAGAAACTAAGATCCGAGGATTCAAAAATAATTTATGGTACGTGTGAAGTAATTTAAAAAAGAAGCAAACTCTAATCTGATTGAGGGATGATGTTAGTCGCACAGACTTATTAAAATAAATTTCCTTAATATGTTTTTCGCACAGTATGTGACCCAGTTTTGGGTGATAATGGTAAAATGTATGTACCAGCGGAGTTATTACCCATTTATCAAACTGTAATTATTCCATTGGCTGACATTGTAACACCCAATCAATATGAAGCAGAACTCTTAGCTGGTATGAAAATTGCTTCCGAGTCAGACGTGTGGAAGGCTGTTGGCTGGTTTCACGAAAAGGGTGTCGACATTGTTGCTATATCGAGCAGCGATTTCGGTCAAAGAGGAGAACTACGGACATTTTTGAGCAAAAAAAATGGCCCTCGTTTCGTCCTGAACATTCCCAAACAAGGATCGAGTATATCATTTACTGGTACTGGTGATCTCTTTGCTTCACTTTTTTTAGCGCACAGCTATCGAAAGCAGTCCGATCAATTGGGATATGCCTTAGAGCGTACTGTAGCAACATTGCAAGCAGTTATAAAACGTACTATTGCCGAAATTCCTGAAGTTATGTTAAATGGCAAAGAAGCGCCAAATTATTCACAGTGTGAATTGAAATTAATCCAAAGTAAAGCCGATATTGAAAATCCTCAAGTGGTATTAAAAGCAGAACAAATTAAATGAAATCCTTTCGTATAAGGTTACCTGTATATTATTGTTTTATGTTTTCATTCATATATGTGTACATATATTTTTTAACACTTTTATGACAATAAGAAAATCGTTGTTAACATATTATATATTAAGATAAAAGGTGAAAGTAAATGTAACGAAAAGAAAATTTATATTTTTTCAAACATACATCAGTCTTTGACTTACAGTGAAGCAGTCAGTCAAGGTTAAGTTAATAGGCAGTCCTCATGCTTCGATATCCAGGATAAACCAAATTCCGAATGAAATTTGGTCAATGTGGTAAATGTCAATTCTTAGGATAAAGACACTTGATTCTTTAATGCTAATATTAGACATAGAGACTTTGATCAAAAAATAACGAGAATATTCCTTTCATATGGAAAGGATGCTATCTATAGACGCCCGTCTAACGTCCAGTAATGAATTTGGTAACGAGCAATTTATTCCTCATCTTAGACGTACTTTCATATGTCTGTAATTTTGTCGGGGAAGACAAGGCGTACTTCTGCGATATTTTTGTACTAAGTGTATTATAGTGTTGAATATGGTGAAAAAGTCCCTTGGAAACAGCAGTAAGTCGGAATTAGAAGTTTATAAATAACATTCTAGCAGTTCTAAGAAGATATCGAACAAACAAACTGGTCCTCCTATACCTGCCGGCTTCCGACTTCTGAAAATGCACCAAAAATGCAAGGAAATCGTCGAAATGGCGAGCCGGATAAATGTCACGTACCTACATGTATCTTGAGAAACTTTGCTTGAAGACTTCTTAACTACTATAGGGGGCGACGGCTCACCGTAAAATACCCTACATTACGTTACAGTTATTCGTAGAACGAGTTTTCAAAACAAGGGGAATTGGTTGAACAAGTGGTTCGATTCGAAGCATTTTCAATAATGTTCGAACCGACGAATGAAGATCGATTTAGAAAGTGACCGTTATAAATAAGGCTCTTTCCACCTCAAATCCTTCTGGATGCTTCACTGCAGGTGATGTAGGGTATAATTATTTAAAATGTTTGTTGGTAATCGCCTTTATGCCGGCATCAAAGTAAATTTAAATTTGAACATGTGTAGCGATTGCTTCGTGACTAGTGGTGTTCAGAAAGTTTGAATTATGCAACTCCGTATATTTGATTGATCAAATTTTTACCTTAGGCTTACTAAGCAATTAAAAGCATAAATTCAATTTCATTATAAGAGTTTTTTTTTTTTTTTCATTATTGCGTTATTTATTTTTTTAAACATTTTCTATGAAGACTAAAACTATTTAATTTGTTATTAAGAGTTCAAGTTAAAAATACGAGAGGTCTTCGTTTTTCTTTATAAAATTATTTATAATGCAAACATTTTTATTTATTTTTTCTCTTAAATTTTATTATTATTTATATTTTTTGTATTTATTTATTTATTTTTTTTTTTTAATTTTTTCAACTTATTTATTCTTATATATGTATGTACATCAAAAGGAGAAAAAAACGTTGCTGGATGTTTTGGCAATCAAACTCAATTCAAAATAAATAAAGCCTAAAAAAACCTAAAAACGAAAGATATCAAGTTGTAGTCGGTGAAACCGGACTATCTATTACCTTAAACCGGTGCGAAAGTAAAATTACATCATTTTATGCTAAGTTTTCTTTAGTATTTCAAGATCGGGATATAAAAGAAATGTGCTGCCGATTATCAGATTAAAATTTGGCCTAAATAGCTTTTGGTTTCTTTTGCTCTGAGCATAGCAGAATAAACAAAAGTATTCGCTCAAAAAAGTACCGGCATGAAATTACCTCAATCTACCGTTTACCTAAGAGTCGTTAGTTTTTCTGTTGGCGTCTAGCTCTTTACTGATGTGACATCAAAGTTCAAAGCTCTCTCGCGGCAGCACTGTTAAGTTCATTTTTATGCTTGAATTCATCTTTGGAGTCTTGATAGATGAAGTTATTGAAGGCATCTTGTAATAATGCTATATAACGTGACTTTTTGGGCCCTTAATCTTATCGAGTGAGTGTGAAATACATCAGGAGCATCCCATTTAAAAACTATTCATTTTAGTTCCAGACTGACTGTTGAGCGCACTATCATTTTTATTACTTTGTTACAGTAGTTTTTGGAGCTTATACACTGGGCTTTTCAGTCAAAAACTTCTTTGTGTTCTTCACATTACGCCGTGAAACTTTTCTTGGCAAACAAAAAAAAAACAATCCGGGTACAGTATTCAACACTGATAACTTGTACCGACCGAACGTAATAACTAATATGCTTGGGTTTGGTCGGTATTTGCTGGATATGGTTTCTTGGGGTATTAGCTTGGATCCAATTTATAGCTATCGATGTCGAATAAACCCGATCGTACTTTGAAAGCATTTTTAAAATCGAAAGATTTTTCATTCGATAGTAAGAAAATTGCGTACTTCATCGAGATTTGTAGACTGTAAGGTCTCTATGCGTTACAGTGGCTCTATAATCGAGTTCTATCGAGTTTACGCGATCCTTGGTAAAAATCAAAATGACGTCGTCGATCGGTCGGGATAAGGTCTTGTGTGACATGTCCGTTTTCTGCTCTTACAAAGTAAAACAAAACAAAACAAGTTCCTTGTAAATGGCTTGAATTGATTCGAATCTTAGAAGAATATTTGAAGAACCAGCTGAAGCAGCAGTGAACTCAAAATGTGTCTATGGCTATGTAAAGCATGCTAATGAATACGGCTTTCATTCATGGTTAACGATGAAGACTTTTCTCTATTAATATTGCTGTTGAAAAATTAACCATAGACAAGAATTGTCTAAACCGTTTTTAGATCTCAGCCACTTTCACTAGGTACGCAATCAATCGCTTTATTGTTTCACTGATTAAGATTTTATGTGTGTGTGTGTGTGTGTGTGTGTGTGTGTGTGTGCGTGTGTGTAAATTATTTCAAAGTCATTTCAAAGACATTTTTAGTTAAACTAAATGTTTTTTTTTTTTTTTTTGGCGTTAAAGTACTGAGTTGTTAGTGTACAGAGCAAATAATTCTTAAACGGCTCGTCATAAGAAGTTTTGGACTAAAGAAAATATTAAAATCGCTGATATTTCGGATTAATTATTACACGTAGCAAAATTGAAAATTAATTTGGACAATGAAAATTAAGTGATGTTTGGCTAATTTCTTTGATTCTTACGCAAATAAAGAACAAAAAAAAAAAAAAGCGGAGAAGAGAAGAGAAGAGAAGAAGGGAAAAAACAAACTTTTACATGTTTACATAACTATTTTACTTATATACATTATTGAATCGGTCTAATAAAAAGTTTTTAACTAATTCTTTTTTTTTTTTTATTCATACAATTTTGTTTTTTGTTTTTTTCTTTTTTATGTACATGTGTGTGTTGTGTAAATTGAAAAAAAGTTTCTTTTATTTTATACAGTTTTTTTTTTGTTTTTGCTTTATTTTTTTTTACAGATAACTATTAAAAATAAAAAACTTTTAAAGTAAGTGAGCATTTCGGCATTAGAATGGTTAGACTCTTTCAAAACGGATCTCAAATCAATGAATATTTTCTTAATGAACAATTTACCCCCTGAGTATTGGGTATTAAAGAATAAGGTTTAGTTAGTAGATCGAATCTGAGTAAATGATTTACAAACAAAAACAAAAAAGGAAAGTGAAAGTTTTTTCCAATATCTTGATCTTCTTCATACATGTTACTTGAGTTCATCTAGATTTTCTTGCGTTTTGTTTTCTTTTTTTTTTTTTGTTTTGTTTTCTGTTTTTTTATATTTTTATTTACTTTTGTTTTAATGTTGAAGTTCGTTAAAGTCTGAGTGATTGACTATATAGAGACGAGATCTTATTTGCATTTGTCGCTTATCGATTTTTATTTTGACACTCGCGAACGTTCTGAATAATCTGTTAGAATTGCACACATACCCTTATCGATTATGTTTCCATAGGTCATGAGAAGTAGAGAATAAAAATTTTGATCTCACAGCGATGACGATGCGGTAACTCTTTGTAGCATTTGCAATAGCTGCTCCGTAGCTGAAGGCCTTTGTACGCAACCGTCGCTGAAACAATCGTCCATAAACTTGTTGTTGTTGTTGTTGTTGTTGTTGTTATGATGATGATGATGATGATGGTGATGATAATGATGGTGATGATGATTATTATTGTTGACGCCACAGCCTGCAGGGCAGGATGGTGGCGATGATACCGATGTGGTTGCTGATGTTGAGTTCGATGCAGCCGACGCGCATGTTGATGACGATGATGAAGGCGTCAGCGTTAATTTGGATTCTGTTTGTGAGGCAACAAAAGAAGCAAATTAGAAACGTTTGCGTTCGTTTTCTATGGACTGCCTTGCATACTATCATCGCTTTCCAGGTAGGTAACATACGAATCAGTACTGTCCGGATGATGGTGGGAGGTAATGCCAGAATCCATACTGCTGCCTGGTGGCCCACTTAATTGCTGCCCCGGCGTTGACGGATGCGGTCCCTGTTGATGAGCCTGCAACGGCGGCATACCATTCAAATCGTATCCGTGCATCTGTAAAAAAATACATATATATATGTATATGTATACGTAGGCATACGTAATAAGTAAAATTATGTTCGCATTGAAATTTCAACTAAAGCTTCGGGAGATTTAAACGCAGTTTCTGAATTCGTTTGGTTAAAAACCTTTCCAGCGTATTAACAACAATGTTATGCAGTTATTTAACTGGACATTTTAAAGTGGCGCTAATTGTCTTTTAAGTTCATATAAAGCAGGACTGGGCGAATTGCCTCTAACAGTGCCCAGCTTTAAAGGTCGTCTAGCCAGCACAGCAGTGTATTCCGTCAGTACGTACGGTGTCCATCAAACCAAATTATTAATTAATAAAAATGTGAATAGTAAATAAGAAGCAGGACCCTGGCTATGCTTTTCCTACAAAGGTGAACATAGTAAAAATTCATGCCTTCTAGCGTGAGGGTGAAGGTATTGGCAGCTTTGTGGCAATACGCATTTACGTATTTGGAATGTTCTTCCTGGACTATCCGCTCAATCATTTTTTGGACGGAGAATTTACCAAAATTGGTATCCTTTGAAATCAGGGACCATGTTGTCGAGAAGTGACGTGAGTGCTAAAGTGTTATTTTAGGCGAACATCGCGTAGGGAGGGAGGGGCTAATTAGATAGCCTACAATTTCTGTGGTCACAATCGCTTTGTATTGATTTTCTCCTTCTAATCAGAGTGGAGTCAGATTCTAGTGATTTTCAATTTGGTGGCGAATAATTTTCGTGACATTACATAGCATTGATTTATGCATTTTGATGGCGAATAATTCGCCATAATCTTCCATTGGGGTTAGGCTGTATTATTATTTTTTTTTAATATGGCCAATCACTTAGGGGATTCCCTCGTCTACGTGTATCACGGTCGTAGCTACAAAGAAGAAGGCAGGCGGAGAGAAAGATAGGCTTGTAATTGCACCATAGCGAATGTGTTCCCGTCGATAGGTGTCCTCATCCCCGTACCGTTCGCATTTGGAACAACCTACTAACTTTGATATTTTTAAGTCGAATACTGCTCGCTTTCTTAACCTGTCTCTACCTATAACATTTCGCGATCATCGCCATGGTTGCACCTTTAGGGAACATCTCCTAAGTGGCTGGCAACGCTACAAAAAAAAAAAAAAAACAAAAGCGTGATGTGATTACAACCCGCGAATACCGACTTGCCAGACGCGAGTATTATCTTATCTGCTATGCGTATAAAAAGATCGCTGTTTCTCTAAAGAGTCAGCAATACCTCAAGGTAGGTTCGTCGATCTCAAGGCAGAGACTTTTAAAAGGTTGAAGCTCCACTTTATAGCGGAACATATTGCTGTTTTTTCGAAGGCTTTCACAGCCAAAAAATGCTTATAGCTGCAATTCAAAAGTATTCCTTATGAAGACTAAACATTCTTTGGACGATCCGACAATTAGAAGCCAAATTTAGCGGAACTTTCCGAAGCCAACATATGGAGATTTTGTATTTTTTTCGTGTTTGGAAGCGAAATAAAGTATATAATGCCTTGCGTCGGCTAATCATTTTATTGAACAATGGATGCGCCAATGTCTCTACATATGATTGAGATGTCAAGTGTCTCGTATGTGGATTTTGTGAATATAATAATTCGAAGTTTACCTGATTGACTAGTTGTTGATAAGCTGGTGTTTGGGTGTTAATAGCACCGTTGCTGTCAAGGTCAGCGTGAAGAGCAAAATCTGACAAAGCTTTCCATGGCGGTTGATATGTTTGCACATCAATACCTTGTAAATTAAGTGGAGAATCATGTCTCACAGGCGAGCTGGCTATCATTGGAATACCCTGCATGGCACCATATCCTAATTTTCGACCGTCCTATCGAATAATACACATCATACATATCATATCAGATAAATTATTACTCTATTATTGCTCTATTCGACGGTTGGCTCTTACCTTTTCCAGTTGTTGTTGTTGTCTCATTTGTATTGTTTTCTTTTTATCTTTGCAACGTTTATTTTGAAACCACACTCTTATAACGCGTGGCGATAGTCCAGTCATTTCAACTAATTGCTCTTTCATAAGAGCATCAGGTCGCGGATTAGCATTGTAACAGGTTCTGTAATTAACATAATTATAAATTAATGGCATTAAATATAATTGCAATTAATTAATGTTGTTATCGTTTAATTAACCTTAGTGTGTGTAATTGCTTTTCATTGAGTACCGTTCTGACGCGGGTTGGCTTACCATCCGAAGGTCCCGAAGGCCGTTTCTCCCTAATACTTTTATGTGAGCCCGATTCGCTACCGGAATCTGGAAAAGATCAAAAACCAAAAAACTCTACATTTTAATCATATGATGACTTGAAACTTTTTTGTTAAAACCATAGAAAAAAAAAAAAAGACACAAATCAAAAACATATATGTGCTTACAAGGCTTGACAATTCAATCAAGAGCATCAGCAACAGTATTGCGAACAAGCAGTGCTAGCCATGAGTTGTTTGCAAAGTACTGATAAATTGTTGCAACTGATGCCAGCTAAAATTCCGTTTTGGTTTTCCTTTTTTTTTTTTTTTTTTTGTGTTTCTTTTAAAAGATCAAAAAGATTCCAATTGGAAAACACTTATATATATATGGTTGTAATCCAAGTATTTGCGGATAAGTTCAATTGAGTTCAAATGCATAAAATTGCGTCAAATTGCTTTCATTTGCTGAAAGTGTAAGCATTTTCATACTAACAGAGCGAAGCAGTTACTAAATTTGTCAAATATTTCTAGTAACGCATAAAAATAAGCTGAGCGAAGTATTCTCCAACTACGACAATACAACATTGATGTAAGGCAGAAAGTGTGTCGTTTAATCATAAACTAACGAGAATTGTGCATTGATCAAAAAATTACGAGAATTTTTGATTTTTCTAAAAAAAGTGTCAGAATGCATGTAAACTTTTAGGTACAGTGCTCGGTTATTTATGTACACTATTGTTTTTTACGCGAAACATATGCACGTCATTTTGCAAGGCATTTTTGTGCAAGGCATTTTTTCAAATCTTACAAATCCGATTGAAATATCAAAAGACAAACTTTCCTCTTAAATAAGTTTGGTGTAGATTTGTTGCTTAAAAATGGTGTTATATTTATTTTAATATAGTTAGTTAAGCCTTAAGAATTCGATCTGTTCGTTGAAATCAACTATGAGACAGAAGAAGCGGCAATGACTGAGGAATAGGGAATAGTATCTGGAGAACAACATGCGGTTAGATACTTTCATCCTATCGAACACGAAAAGAAAAAAATAGTCGGGAAAGGTTCCATTTTATGGGCCGAAGTAAATGGGACTTTTTTTTTATTCAATGGAGCTCCAGATATGTATGCTTGATCGAAACATGCCCGTCTCTCTGTCAGTGCAATCCTCCTGATCGCAAAAATTAAGCCGCCGGCTTTAAAACTAACAGAAATATTGGAAGTTGTTGCAAGTAGGTTGGTCTTGAAACACAGCGAAGCGTACAGTGTACACATAACGGTTTATCCAAGCAAAAATTTGCTTAGCATTCATAAGTTATGAAAGATAGAAGGCTGAAATTCTCTAAATTGGATTCATGGGGAATTCTCCTCTTCATGCAAAAAAAGACAAAAAAAAAAATTGGCCTCACTCATGCAAAGTTATAAGTGAAAATTTTCGATATAATCCCAGAATTCAAGATGGCGTGAGCTCTCAAATTTCAAGCAAACGAAATCGTAGCTTGATTTTGCCAAATTATTCACTTATGCATGGATTAGGTAGATCCTTTCAAGATGAAAACCTAAACAGACTTGTACAACTGTTTTTTTTTTTTTTTTTGTTTCTTTTATGTTAGCTTTATTTACATGATGAATATCCGACGTAATTGCACATCACGTCATGAGTTACCTTCAAAATGCTTGTTGTGTTGTGTTATAGCTTTCGATCATTGTATCGCTTTAATGACATGACACCTATTAATGAATTGTACGTTCAACTGAACTGTGTATGGAACTGTGTATATACTTCGTTGTCGTTATTGTCATAAGTAAGTACATATATTTGTATGCATGCATTACATACACCAATAAACGCTTGTTGTTACAACAATCATTCGATTGTTTATCAGTTTCAAGTTGTACAAAACTTTCGGCTTGTTTCTCTGTAGCGACATTTTCCTTGAATATGTTATGTTTGATGCGCTCTGAGAAACCGCTTTTATTTATCTAACTGGAAAAGTTGTTACTAACACGAGATTGACTGTAAGCGGGAAATGATTGATGTACGCTTCGTTAGCACAAAAATTTTAGAAAATTATTTTTAAAATTCATGGAAAATATGGATTGAATATTGTGATTGAGAATTTGTATTTGTCTACATATATATATATATATAAAATGCACACAGACTACATACAGAGCACATACAAAATTGTTTATGATTTCAAAATCGCTTACTTGATGCGATTAGGTTTAATAATTTTCTCTAGCAATTCTTCGTCTATATTAAACTCACCTGACATTGAGCCCAATTCGCTGGAATGATTATTATTGCTGAGGCTCGTATGATTATTATTATTACTACAGCTATTGTTATTGTTGCTTTCTATTGAAGAGGATGTTAGACTACTTTGTGAAGACTTCTCTAAAACGTCATGATCATCTTTACAATATAACACTCCACCGTCACGTAACGCAAATTCATCACCTGAAATTCAAAAACATATAAAAATTTATAAACAAATCAAAATTTTGTATCTCAATACTGCTATAGTAAAGTATGTCAGTATATGATATTTTCCATGATCATTAAAGGCTAATTAAGTACCATTTGTTTCATTAATATATATATATACTTTAAACGATAACTAAAATTCGACTTGAGGTCATTTCCCATGTTCCTCAAAGGGCTAATTAGTGACAAGGGTTTCTCTAATGCACTTATTATCTTAAGCGACAGCTACAATTCGCTTTAAAGACGAACACTTGTACCTCCTTACTATCATGGTAACTGGATGGGTATATTAGTGCAAACTGATAGATTTACTTGTGGTAGGAAAGTAGGAATAATTCACAGGTCAGTTTATGGGTCTCGATATCCAGTAAACTTGACTTTAATTTGAATATTTTACTCGTCAGCAATTTTACGATAAGTTTTTCATTTGATAGCAAAAAAAAAAATGCATACTCCATCGGCAGCTGTCTATAGTCTATAAAGGTTACTTATAATCGAAAAGCTAGGTGAAGAATGTTGTTAGGTGGGAACAACATGATTAAAGAAAAGTAAATTGTAAAATTAGTTTAGCAGTTAACCGAACAAGCGAAGTAATAGGCTTAAGAAAGCCACCATTGTGGCTAGGACTTTGTGCAGAAAAGGAATACAACGATCAAATGAAAGTAGAAGCACAGTGTTTCACTTCTTTTTTCATAAGTTGCTACATTTCGAAAATGTGGAAAGTTGAAGAATATGTTTTTTTTTTGGTTGTTTGTTTGCCGTGAAATTCACTGATTCGTCTTCTTTTTTCACTACTCGAAAAGAAATAAAAACTAAACTACTAACCAAAGGAGGTTAAAAGGAGGTTAACGACAATAAAAGTCTCAAAACGGTTTGCTGTATTCTCCACAAGAGTACCTTCTTACTATGCAAAGATCCCTTAGGAATATCGAAGGACATCAAATCTATACGTTGCGCTGGCGAAATTGACCAACTAAGTGTAAGCAGAAAAATACTGTCGAGCAGATGCAAATAGTAAAACGCTAACGCTAGTCATTACTTGTAATATTTATATACTTCTCCCAGCTAGATAAAATAGTTTTGGGTGAACTGGGTGAGGCTACGAAATCTGGTAGAACACTACTACTGTGTAGGCGTCAATTATCGATATAATAAAATGTATATAAATAAATACCTGGTACTAACTGTCTCGCACACGCTGAACAACGAAAGCAGTCTAAGTGAAATATTTTCGTTTTAGCACGCATCACAAAATCATTTTTGCTAAAGGCGTTGCCGCATTTATCACATTTAGCGCCAAATAGTCTGCAAATGAAAAAAAGAGAACATAATTGTATAAATCAATGAATTTAATTAATTAGATAATTTTAAGTTGCAATTTGGTCCTCATTCTTCCTATTGTAGGAACTGTGCGATATACTCACTTTTATTCTAATATTGTTAATCTGCTTAATCTGATGTAAAGAGAAGCACTTCATGCCTATACTATAAAGTGTACTTAGAAGGGTAAGATTCAGATTCGGACTTTAGTCAAAAATTTGTTAAAGCCTCTCCCTATAAATGTAAGACTATGTCGATCTATATATCATTCTATGGGTACATCTGCATGGATTTGAACTCAAGCCGAAAGATTAAGCAGATTATCATCGAGAATTTATAGTGAAGGCATGTAGAAGTCGACTGCAATAGCTTTACAAAGTACAAGAAACGTGAACTTTTTCAGAATTTGTTACCAAAAATGGTAGAACTAAAACTGAGCAGAAAATTCACGATTAATCGCTAGTTTGCCAAGACTTTTTTCGCTGTCGAAAGCTTTAGTCGAGGGTAAACAGTTCCAAGAAGCGAAAAGAGCAAGATTGCATAAAAGTTGCCGTCAACTAAATTTAAATTCAAATTCGGTTTCGTTCCTTTAGAAGTAACGCAACTTCCACGTGCTTATATGTATATGTAAGAAGAATCTTTTCATATACATTATGTTTGTATTATAATACATATACGGAGACTTGATCAAATATTTACTTATATATTTTGTTGATCAAACGTATAATCAAGTGTTAAATAATTCTTTTTTTATGATTTGATAATAAATTATTTCAATATTTACCTACCGACTGAACTTTAATTTTATAACATTTTTGTATTTCATAAGTAGACTGAATAATAATCGTCTGACTGGGCAGACGAGAAAAATTCTTAAATGAAAATTTTTAAATCAAAATAACACTATGCGGGATATCATCTTATTATATATATATATATATATATATATATATATATTTCGTTACTACACTACGGCATAACTTAAATGATAAATGTTACTTTTTATTTAACAATTTTTACGCGCTTGTTCACGCCTACGTGCGACTGCGGTCGACGTACGGCTTTTATGTGTTTTTAATAGATTGTATGCTTTAATAATTTTCGCAAATAAAAAAATTAATTTAAACAAAACATTAAAAACTGTGTTTAAAATTTTGTTGATTACATTCATCATTACCGCTTTGTAACTAATATGTTAAGCAAACAAGCATCAAATAGATAGATAGCAGCTGCTTGTACAATTGAACAGAGATGACCAATAAGTCGAAATGATATCCAAGCGATAGACGCGACTCAGCATCGATTGAATTTTGAATATTTCACTCGTGAAACGATCTACTTTTCCTGTCTCTTTTCCCCATTCAAGTTTTCAAACTTGCGAGAATCGGTCTCGACACGCTCTCAACGATAAAATGAATATCAAAAATAATAGAAGCGTAGTTGGCCACCCCAGCTATTTAAGATTCTCTACATATTATAATAATGCGGTAACAAGCTAACATATTCACTGATGTGCGAAATGAAAAGCGTCCGTTCCTTAACAAAAGAAGTTTTTCTCATCTATCATTTTTTGTCTGTTCGCTGACTATGTTCATAGCCAACACACAACCTAAGACTTTTCATTAATTTATAATGCACGTGATCGAATTTCTTTTCTTCCTTCTTTTTACGCTAGCATTGTATACGAACATATTCGTTGCCTAAAGATTGGAAACGGAAGAGATTTGTCATTCCCTGTATAGCGCTCAGGTATAAATAATGACGATAAGTTATATCTGTTGTAATGAAAGAGTTGAGCTGATTAAACCAAGTCCGCCTGTCTATGCGTCTGTCCGGCAGTCCACTTTATCTATTGATGCATCTGCCAGCCGTGCTGCATGCTTAGCGCTTGTTTCCCGATCCATATGTCCTTCGCCTTCTTATATGTCCACCTATCTCGCGGCTTATCTGTCTATCGGTCCGCCCGTCTGTTAAACTGCGAGTCCATCTGCTCGCCACCTATTTGCTGATGTCGATGTCTACCAGTTCCTCGCTTTATTTGAATGAAACTTGTTACAAAGATTTGTTTCGAGCTTCCATGAGATAGAAAGGATGATTTGACCTCAAATATGCTCACAAAATATGCAGCTTTACGATCTATAGCTCGTATCGCAGGGTAATTTTGAAAGCAAATATAAAAGTGGCTTTGAGTATTTCAAAGATTCTTTTGAAGTCAAGCATCACTTTTTTTTCGTGTTTCATGGTATGTAGGGACACCTTGCACTCTGTTGCGGTTAGTTAGGCTTACGCTAATTTTAGTTTTCCTCCACAAAGAACCACAAACGTCATTTTTCATTAGTGCACCGAAAATGAGATGGCAATGTGCTGATGGCCGTCTGTTTGGTGATACAAAGTAGGAGATCAAAATCTCAATTTCCCTTATATTCGCGCCTGAATCGATTCAATGAACCAGTTACAAGAACAATGATGCAAACGTATCTATTCATTGCTTGATTTGGCCAGATCTGCGTTTTCGCTTATCCATGACAGCGTGGGACGCTAATAATTCTCTTAATTCAGAAACGGAAAGTTAAAGCCCATTGTTTTTATGCATTCGTTTTAAAGATCATAATTCGTCTTAAGGGTATTATTTATTTAATTTTCTCTTTTTACTATTGAATGAGATAATGATGTTTCTATTGGAACACACTTACCTGACATAATCACGTTTACAGTAGGTTTTGCCATCACGCACAAAACACGTACAATTTTCATCCAGAAATTGTCGACATTCTTGACATTTCAGACAAGCTGCATGCCATTCTAAATCTGGTGCTACGCGCAGGATATATTGATCATGAATTTGCCCACCACACCCCACACAATGTGAGAGATGTTGTTTTTCTAAATAGAAAATAGAAAATAGAAAATAAAATATATATTTTAATTAAATTTATTTTATTTTAATAAACTTTTCATATTTTTGTTTTACACAATCAATCAGTGCCCATATAGCACATGAATCTTGTAATGTAATCGAGGCGTCATAATATTTTTCTTCGAAATTCAAAGTCATCATTCATTCATTGTGTTTAGAACTTTTGTCTTTACTTTCATCAATTTTTTTCGTAAAAAATTCACTTAAATAAAGCGACGAACTTAAGGTTTGTTTTACGAGCGAAATCGTGCAACAAATCGCTACAAATTTTGCATACAATCGGTTGTAGAAGAAAACGCCTCGCCAGTAATTTCCACAGCAGCTTTGAATAGAAAAAACAAAGATACTGCTCCAAATAAATATATATATTTATATATATATATATGTAATTCTGTTTTTTCTATATTAAAATTCTTTTTGATGTTTCTACATCTTTAGAAGAGTTAAAGAATTGAAAAAATTTTAAAAATTGTAGACTAAGCAGAAGTATCAAGTCATGCCAAGTTAAGAACTTACAATGATACAATGATATTAAAAATGATGTAACAAAGTAAAAAATGCCACTGGACATTTTGGCATTTAACGGATCATATAAGCAGATCTCTAGCTAGCAAACAACTCACTGGGATTTTCCCAGCGTCGGTAACAAAATCTATTCCAATTGTTAGCAAAACGGTCAGGCGGAAACCAATTGCATGTGTAGCGTAAAGCATTAGCGGCGTAATCAACACAGAAACCCGTAATCGGACGTACTGCTGGGTGAGTTTTACATGGTTGTCTCAGGGAATGAATATATTTTTGAAATTCACTTATAAGACTACGGACCGTTTCCATTGGCAATAGCTGCGGATATCATTTTTCGATTCCCGAATTTAAAGTTACCACTCCACGGAGAACGTTTTGTGTCACTTTACGATGATCTAAAAGAAAATCTCCTGGACATGTGAGAGTCAATCTTGCTAAATTTGAAAGAAACGTTTGTGAACATTCAGTCCAGCGTTGGCGTAGCTTTCTTCCAAGCGGTGGCTTACGTCTTGAAAATGACAAAATTAATGTTGATTTTGTTTTTTTTTAGAGTTCTTCGCACCAATTACTTCTAGAATTCTACAAATCAACGACAGATGATCCATAAACCTCCGAAATTGTTCAAGTGGGTATAATAGGTTTGTATGTAATGTTTTATGCGAGCGTTTTTAAGTGGATTTTGAGTCAGCTCGCGTCTATGTTTTCACTTTTACTTTCATTTCCGACAAATCAAAATTAAAAAGACTTCCTTCCATCTTGGTTGTAGGTTAAACATATTAAATTCTAACGGCCGGGGTGAGTAATGTGACTTTATCATTACTCATGCATGGAAACTAAGCTACACTGAAGGAATTAACAAGCTATAAGATTGTGTCAGCAGCTTCCGTGAGCGAGTTTATAGCGACCGAGTCGTGAAATCGCAAATTTTTTCTTCAATGACCTAGAAGTGATCACTATCCGATCTTTCTGATCGCTTATTTTCAGCAAAAATTTAGCAAATTGCTAGCTGAGATTATTGAGGAGAACATCTAGTTGGAACTGGCTATTGCCCACCAAAATTCGTAGAGCTACAAATACTCGGATAGAAAGTTGAAAATTGATCGACATACTTTTGGATGCAAGAGCTGAAACTAAAATGTTGACCCTGTTAAGCTTACAAAGCATCTTACGTTTTCATTGCTATCAGGTAGGATTTTGCCAGATCCTGTTTTCACTAAATGCCTACATATACATATATATATATATATGTTATATGTATAACGAAAACTATTAAACTTTACAAATTCGGTTCAAATGAAATATAAATTTCTCTTTTGTTAATTCTGTGCTAGCAAATAAATATATAGAAACATTGCATGCTCTACTTTTGTAGGTCCACCGGGAGAGGGTAATAAATGATAAATTGACAAAAAAAAAAAATTCAAAAATTTTCCTCTTTTCTAGGCTGTTTATTATAAATATATATAAAAAATAGTAATAATAATAAAAAAATCAATGATATCGCATACAAACAACAACAACAACGACAACAAGATAAACACTGTTATACATAATTCTTTATCTTTGCGCGTGTGTATATATATATATATATGTATGTGAATATATTTGCACATGTAATATTTTTCTTATTTTGTACATGAAGTAAATATATATGTGCATGTGTATGCTCATACACATATCCACATATACTCTAATCGTGCGATACAAATGTTACAAGTTTCAAACAATATTTTGTTCGGGGGAAAAAAAAAAAGAAAGAAATCTTTTCTAGGAAAGTTTTCAAACAACTTTGACGTATTTAACGTTGCGCGTATGAAAAGGTTTCGCATTCAGATTTATTTCTTTGCTTGACCACCGTTGTTCTTAACGCACTTCCTTGGCCTTAGTCATCCTCCGCCCAATTCTCTAATGAGAACTATTTGCAGTGTTCAAGGTACACTTACCAGCTTTCTTTCTAAAGTAAAAATCGAAGCACTTTTGTTATTCTCGTTGTCAATTAAATTTAATGGCGATCGTCTTCCTCAAAGCATTCACATTAATAGAAATGACGCAGATGCGTTCTTAAGCATAAATTCAATTTTATCCAGAATGTAATAAGCATTTGCTTTGATTTAATATGAACGAGGAAGATTTAATTTTTTTTATATTATTTGTTTAGCTGCGATGAAAGCCCTCTAATGCTTATACCGCTGCGCACGGCCTTTAAGTGTAGAGCATTCAATAATTGACCCTTACCTTACTGTAATGTTTTCATTTGCTTTGTTTTTCCATTTTTATCTGAACCTCTCCTTTTGTTTGTATATGTATGCGGGTCTTTGCTTGCCTCTATGCATATGTGTATATATATATATATATATATATGAATCTGTGAGGTAAGCATATGGATGTTCTTTGTTTTTTTTTTTTTTTTTCTTTTTTATAGAAATGTATGTGTTTATCTGTAGCATTGTTGTTGATATCATGAGTTATTTATAAAGGCGGAGCAGACAAGAAGTTTCAGTGCGTATGTACGTATGTAGCAATGTATACAATGTTTTTATATATTTTTCGTAATGCGGATTGGGGGCAGTCGAAGCTATTAAAAGCTGCTTTATATTGGATGCTTTCTTGTGTTCCTCTTTTGTTCACAATCTCCATTATTGTTGTGCTTTCGTATATATGTATGTATGTAAGTGCGTACAAAAGTGCTGAATTGCACATATAGGACAACAACAATGGCTACAATAATATTTTATATGCAAACGTATGCGTATATGTTTATATTTTGAAGTTTGTGTGTATGTGTGTGTGTGTGTGTGTGTGATAACTCAAACGTCTACTTTAAAATGTGAAGCAGGCATCCATTGCAAAAACATACAAAGGATGTCCAGCGTATAGAATAAAGCATACAGTAGTAGTAATTTAGTGGGATTGCGTGTGTTTAGTCGGTTACTTCTATCCGTAAAAGTTTGCATGCAAGTAAGCCTACAGTCGTTCGCTTTACTTTACATTAATAAAAAATCTTCCGATTTGTTAATGAAGGAGGGTTTTATCAAATCTTATCAAAGATTTTTATATCTCTCGTTCAAAGCAATAAAGCACCAAGTTTACGATTCAACACACATACTGAGCGATATTTATATATTTCTTGTCATTCTTGAATATTCATAGTTTCTTATATTTTTCGATTTTTGTTTTTATTTTTTTATTTATTTATTTATTTTTTTTGTTTGTTATACTTTTGTGCACAATTTCAGCCTTTCCGCTGTAATTCTTTTACGATTTTTATTGCGAAACATTCCAATGAGACAGATACACGCAAACCTCTAAAGGCTTATATATGAAAGTGGCTATACAACTGTAATAATTATGAAAGTCATGCGTGTATTTCATTAGGGTCGAATCTTTAACAGCTCCTACCTTAGGTGTTTTGATGGTTGTAGTTATGAGTGCGTCGGTCAGTCAGTCATCACTTCAACGTACCTATCATCCCGAAATATATTTACACTTAAGAGTAGATGTCAAATGTTGCACGTAGTTGTGCGTTACTTGAGATTGTATTTCCAAGTGTTTGCTTTTAATTTTATATTCACCTAACACTTGCCGCTATTATCATCATCTCATAGTATATCGTGGACGTGCGTATGGGCGGATCACGCTAATTTTCAAACTTCACCCATCAGCATCATGCAATGGCATATGTGCTCAGTTTTACTATCTTCAGTTAGGCAAAGTTAGACACAAAGGTTTCTTTGCTGTAGTTATATTCAAGTCCACTAAATCCACCAGATTTGATTCTTCATGCATTTTCATCCATTATTTTATATTTACCTTTCGAACGTCTCCAACAAATAGCTGTAGACGAATGCTCTACAGATCTCAATATAACAAAAGTGGGTTAGGACCCATTTTCAACGCACCAGTACTTTTGTCCTTTCCAAAACAGGAACCAAATCTATATTTCGTGCCTAGTGTCGCTAAAATAAATTTTTACATCCGATGTCTACAAAGGCTACGACTATTGATATATTATATTATATTATATATTATATTAAACTTCTATGACCTTTAGCATATTGCTATATTTAGGCCAACATTATATTGGCAATGTATAGTTTGGAACCTTTTTACGGCTATTTGATATATAGGTCCTTACCTTTAAAAAATTGCGCATTCAATACGTCAGGAAGACAGATGGGCGGACATAATTCTAAGTAGATTCCTACCGGTAAAGGTTAGTCTAAAGTGATGCTGCAGGGCACTTGAGTTGAAACTTCATAGTTTGGCAGGGCTGCTCTTAACCCGTATTCGTAAGAGTTTGCGAATCACGAAACACATACTTATGAAGAGAAGGTTAACACACCACATGCGAACGTATATGCATGTATGACCAATCGCTCAGAGTATGTTACTTATAACAAAATAGCAGTTAGAAACAAGTAAAGAAAGACAAAAGGATACT